ACAATTCTGGAACACCCTGTATTTCATAGGCAATCATGCATCAATTTAATTCCCTCCTATGGAACACTCTACTTCGACCGCCCGTACTCAGGGCAACGTTGAAATTTCCTAAAGACTTAGGAAGGATTTTTTAACTTAGAATTTACGATATTGTTGACTCACTAAAGAAAATCAAGCAAAGGAAAGAGAATATACAAAAAACACTGGTTGAGACGCGTGTTGGATCGAGTAGAGTCAAGGCAACATGGTTCTTCAACGATGAGACAAAAAAGTCGTAAAGCACAAAACGCGTGGAAGCGTTGCAAAAGACGTGAGCTCCAGAAGGCCTAGCTTTTTAAAGACGATGGAAGAGGAGGCTTGTCAAGGGTGCCGTAGCGAAGCCAAAAAATACGGAGTGAAAGCCTTTAGTGAGGAATCCGAAAGTTCAGAAAGTATAGAAGTTTGTTCTCGGCTCTCTGGCTAGCCGAGAACAAACTTCTATACTCAGGACGGTCAGTTCGTGAAGAACAGCAAGGGTGCCATATTGAAAAATCGAAAACAGTTGGAATCACGAGGTCCTTAATGGAAGCTATCTTCATAGCTAGACAAGTGATGAAGAAATATTGGAAGAAGCGTAAATCCTGTGACGTAGCCTTTCTCGATCTAGTGAAGGCCTTCGACCGCTCAACGGGACCAGCCCTCCGGAGAGCGGAGAGGATAAACTTTGCAGAATACTTGTCTCCTTGCAGGATACGCACATGAGCCGAATCCTCTTTCTGCTAACATTGGACGACTTTACAGAATGACTCGTGCACAGACAACCGAATAGCATCCTCTACGCTGACGATATCACCCTGATAGCGCAGGGTAGAAAAGGACTGACTGAGAAGCTGCAGAGGTGGCACTGGTGCTGGCTAAGAATGTGTTCCAGCTAGGCGAGGAAAGGACCACTTTCTCAGGAGAAACGCGCAAACGTAGTCGTAGACAATGAGGGAGCCATCGAAAGAGTACTGGGGTACCGAAAAATAAGTAGTGATCTAGCTACTGACGATAGCGTGGTCCCGGCCCAAATAAAGGTGACATAGACTGAATAAAGAGTTTTCATTGTTGTCCTCTGCGGCCGACCATCCTTCATGAGCCTCAGTCGGAAATAATGCAGCGAAGTGGCAAAGGAGGTTCACGATGCTTTACAGCATCGCATGCTGGCTTGGACAAAAATCACAAAAGGCAAATTCATTCAACGGAAACATTGATGCGGAGATAGGACTGCGACTAAGCCTACTGGTCAGTAACTAAGATGTCACGACAACTGCAAACAAGTTTGTCCAGCTGGTACTCTTCGCGAGCTGGACTAACCGAGAAGGCAGCCTCTGCAATGGTATCGACTCATAAGAAAGCCATAAGGGCGGTTGAAAAGTATAGGACGCCACATTTGTAAGCATAACTTCAGAGATAGAGACCAGAGAGACAAATCAACTTTATAGAGGAAGAGTAGCTCTACAGGATCACTCAGAACAGCAGGTGTTCATTGTTCGATCCTTTTGCTCTTACACAAGCCTTCAGACGCTCGATGACTGAATCGACCGTACGCCACAGGTAGTCGACGTCGATATCGTCCCGCGCCTTCTAGAGCGCCAACTTCAGAGCGTCGAGCGTGTGGTAGCAGCGTCCTGCGATTTTGCTCTCCAAGTACCCCCATACAGGGGAGACCATTGGATTGAGGTTTGGCGAAGAGGAAGGGCAGATGTCTTTCCAGTAACCGGGGAAATACGCGTCCATACGGCTTTTGTCGACTTTGAGGCACGGAAAAGGGCGCAATCTTGTTGAAGGGCGAACGATCGGTTAGGGAAGTGCTCAGTGACCCAGGGTAGCAGAGTGCCCATTGCACTACCTTTGGGTAGACCTCGGAGTTGATTTTCACATTTCTGTCGAGGAAGACCAGAGGTGTTTTGCTTTCTGATGTCACCCCAAACCATAACACTTGGGAGATAGCGTGCTGCGCACAAGACGACGTTTTGGGGACCTGCTGTCAGCCTTTGACAACAACTGTCTCTGGTTTTGACGGTTTGGATAGTGTTCTACGGTGAAAATTTTCTCATCAGTCTAGATCACGTCAGAGATGCGGCGCGCCCTGAGCCCTTTTTTGCATTTTATCAGTCGACTTTGCTTGGACTGCTCGAAAGGAACTGGCCTCGACAAAGCCGACAACTGTTCAGTTTGAGGTCACGTTTCACAATTTTCTGGATGGTTTGACGGCTGATATTGCGGTCAGAAGCAGTCCGATTCATGCTGACTCCATCGTTGCGGGTGATCCTCTTCCTGATGATGTCACGAATCCTCGGTGTGTTTACTGTTCTCGGTCGTCCCCCTCTCGGCATCTCAGAGGCATATTCTCGTTTCCCGAGAGCAGCGGCAATATCCGTACGGTTGAAGAGGGAACGCCGAGACATTTCGTAATGTCGCAGCTCCTGCAACCTTCTCTGAGCAACTTCTCGATAATGGGTCGATATGCAGAAACTTTCATGGTGATTATTTGGACGAACAGTCAATCAAATGACTTATATGGATTCTTACACAGATCTCGAGCTTTCTAAAAGTCCCGAAAGACTTTGAAAAAACCCATGGACAGGATGCCAGCAAGCGCCAAACGGCGCGTCCTATACTTTTCAGCCACCCGTAGGTAGAATCATACGACAAGAGAAACAACGGACTCCAAGGTTGAAAGGAAGAGACTATGAGGAACCCAAAAGAGGTGGTGAGTCTTCATCGAAAAGAACCTTGTCGCAACCGAAGTGACGATAGAAGAAAGATGGATATCGCGACGACTAACAAGAACAGGACTTTGTGAAGGTGTGGTATTAAGGCTAAGGACATGACGAAACTTCTTAAGGCAGCTAAGATGAGACAAGAGATAGTAAGATCAAGAAAACTAAGATCAGATGTTTACAAAAATTGACGGAAAGAAATGAGAAACCATGAAAGCCGATACGAAAAAAAAACAGGGTGCGGAGAATGATCTGGCAGAATCCCGTTTCAGGTCCATAAGTAATGAGGCCTTCGATCTCGACAAGATCTGTGCCACTACTTACTGCAAGTCTTCTATATATTCCATGAATTGGCCGTATTTAAATATGCCATTTTACAGAGTGGTGACAAGCAAAGAAAAACGAGCCTCTATCCTGCACCCCCATCTGGCTCGATGCATTGAAAAGACCATGTCCAAGCAGCTCCAGATTCCCTTAAGAACCGTGTACAACAACGTCAACAGGCACAAGGCTACAGGTGGATAGCAAGACCTACATGAAAGGCGTTTTGGAGGAAGTACTTCTCTGGGCAAAATCCCAATTCGGCAACCAGACATGGAATTATCAACAGATTGGAGGACAAGCCTAGAAGTGGAAGACCGAAGAAAAACAACGACAAAGGAGATCGTGAAAATCATTGGAAAGGAAATCCGCCGCTACCCTGGTAGGTCCGAGAGGGAAATGGCTCTTGAGGTGAGTATTTCGGCTCAATCTGTTGGAAGGATTGTCATCAGCCACCTTCGACTTCGCCGATTAGAAAAGCTCACATGCTAACTGAGCGTATGAAGAAAACTAGGCTCGAAAGATGTAAGGAGCTTTCAAAGCGATTTTCGCAGGCACGCCACAGCGAGTCTATTTCACTGACGAATGCCCTTTTTCAACAGATCAGTTCCTGAACACCCAAAACGATAGGATGATAGCGGAAAGCCCTGCAGAAGCCAGCCAACATGGAAGAATTGTTCAGCGATCTGGACACCCCACGTCGATGGTTTTTGGGGCAATCACACCGGACGGCAAGATGCCCCCGATTTTCTTGGAGAAAGGAGTCAAGATGGATAGCGAGACCTACTTAAAAGGCGTTTTGAAGAAGGAGGTGCTTCCCTGGGCAAAATAGCGGAAAGCCCCGCAAAAGCCAGACAACATGGAGGAATTCTCAGCGATCTGGACACCCCAACGTTGATGGTTTTTGGGGCAATCACACCGGACGGCAAGATGCCCCCGATTTTCTTGGAGAAAGGAGTCAAGATGGATAGCGAGACCCTCTTATGTAAAAGGCGCTTTGGAGAAAGAAGTACTTCCCTGGGCAAAATCCCAATTCGGCAACCAGACATGGACTTATCAGCAGGATTTAGTGGCATATTTACCGTTGCGTTGCCAGATCATTTGCTCCACCCTGTACGAACTTCTTTGGCCACTCGCATCTTGCATCCAGGTCAGTGATTGATAACAGACGAATTCGAACCAAACATTAACTATTATATTTTACCAACTATTATATTTCACCAGTACGATCATCCGGCTTATGCCGGGCTTCTCTTCTTCTTGTCACAAAGCCAAGATGCACCGTTTTTCTTGCACTCCTCTTTCCCGGTCAAATAATTTATTTCTGACTTCAAGCTTTTTGAATGGGGTAGCCCCAATTCCTTGGGCACGAATGCGATATAGGGCGAGGTATCGCTCACGTCCGAGAAGTCTCCATCTGTTCTTTTCGGTCTTAACAACGACCAACCGCTGAGAATTTAATCGTTCCTTCCACTGGATCAACTGGCGCACCGACTTTTCCGCAAGTGAGCAACCTGGTTAGTGAGTGAAGCCATTAGTGGTGCTTAGCGATGTTGGTGACCAATAACAGCACCACTATCAGAAGTAACTAACCATGATCGTTCGTATTTGCCTGGATGTATATCATTGGTCGAGGTTCCCAATCTATCAATGGCCAAATCAGTTCTGGTGTGTGTTTTTGATATAAGGTCAAAGAGAAATCACTGCTGCGGACGGTCAGGCGCAAAACTGCATTTTAATGATATGCACTACCGTAATGAGGTATACTGGGAACTTTGCAACAAGGGACATATTTTTCAATAGCCTTCTGCAATTCGGGCTACTGATTCTATTTTTTTTTTTGTTTTCTATTAGATTCTATTTTTTGACTACTGAAAAAACACTCAATCATGGTTCAGGCAGCTAATAAAAAACTTAGCGAAAAATTATGAGCAAATGGCGAACCACAATGGTAAAAAAAATAGGGAAATCAGAGTAAAGCAGACCTACTTCGAAACCTCAAAATGTAAGGGATCGTTCTCATCGATAACACAGAGGGCACGATCGAACGAAGCCCCGCCTTCATGCATTGTCAGTGCTGAACAGTTTCTTGACTTGCACAAGTAGTTTCGTATGTTGCTGAAGTAGACGATATCTCCAACCTGAAATGGTGCCAATCATACGATTGTAATTCTATCGAAGACAAACTTCGAACTTTGAGTGCATTCTAATCTAGCCATTTCACTCCCAAATTAATCAAATATCAGAAGTGCACCAATCTCATTCCATTCTTGTTCTGCGAGCCACTTCTTCCCGCACTTAGAATTTCACAAGGACAGCACTGTACATTTATATTCCCAGAGCCAACTGCGGACTACAAACCAACGGAAAAAGTAACAATCGCTTGATTCCCTCGTCTTGAGGAACTGCACAAAAGGAAGAATACAATCTTGAGAGGCATCGATGCCTCAAAATCCACATAAACATGTCATTGATGCTCCGGAATGACACACCAACTATATGTAGAATGGCATCTGTGGTCAAAAAAAAAAGCTCAGTTCCGTCCTACATTCCCAGTGATAAGCGATAAGGACAAAAAACGCAAGTACAAATGACATGGATCGTTACGAAGTGTTTTACTGCATGTCCCCTAACAAACCGTAAATTCTTCACAATAGAATGGCAATAGCTGGGTGGGTGTCGCGAAGCCTTTTGGAATATCTTTACGTTCTTCTCGCACATTTCCTTTAAAAAGCCGTTGAACGACGGCTTCACGTTGTGAACTCTCATCCATTTCATTGGGTTTTTCTTCAATAGACTATATACTATATCCACTTGAAAATGGCTTACTTTCGACAGGGACAAAATGGAAATAGAGAGGAACAAGAAAAAAAAATAAGAAGATCTCTTACTTTAAGCTTTGAAGCTTGAGCTGCCCAGTCCCCATAACAGCACACATCGAAAGTGTAAGCATCCACAGCAGCAAGTACAGACAATGAAGTCTCGCAAAATGTCGTCTCTATGCTCTCAGCGTCTGCTCGGAACATATTTAGGTCGTCAGAGAAACTTAAATGAACAGTTCTGTGTGCATTTTAAAGGCGTTTACTCGAAGAGCTTAACTGCCAGCAAATTAATAATCACAATGATAGCGTGTAGTAAGAAAGGCCTTTTCCACAAAGAATCCATTTAGCATTTCCCCCTAGCTTCACTTTTTTTTTGAGAATTAGGGAGATTAAAACGTTGGTCTCTTCGGGAACGCAATGATGCACAGTGTATCCACCCGCCATCCACTGCTATGAATATGCTCCGCTGAAATAATACCGAGATCACAACTACCTCGCCAACGTTCCATCCCAAGCTCTTACGAACACCGTGAGTGGCTCGCCCTTGCCCTCGTATACAGCAAGTACCTAAAATAGGAAAAACAGAATGCAACCTTACACAAACTGAAGAAGCAGTACGGACCTCGCAGTACCAGTTAAAAAACTTAGTTCCAAGCGATGGAATCTCACTTGCACTTTCAACTGTGTTGCACTTCTTCCGTTTGGCATTTTTCCTGAAATAGTCTCTCTTATTGAGTAAACAGACCCTGAAAAGGGGATCATGCCAAGACCAGACGCGCTCTTCCTGTCAGGAATCATGGGTTTTAATGGTGCGAGTGTGAGCAGACCGAAGGCCCCGGCACTAAAGTGATTAAGCAATCTTCTCCTCTACGAATTGAATTGAGAGAAATACTACTTTTGAGGCCAAATATTAATGGAACGGGACTGAAAAAAATAAGTAAATTTCATAAAATAATCAGTGATCCAGTTCAAACTGTTTGACTATAAAAATGCTGAGAATTTCTTTGCAAGAAAAGAAAGCGACTTAGGAGTCGTCTTTCTTCACAACCGAATTGGTCATAATCACTAAGATAAGTATATAAGCCCAACAAAGGAATTGTGATTTTAGATAGTGTTAATTCATGAGTTACCTGCTTCCTTATGTCATCACTGCTGTTTGCTGCCGTTGTAGCTACAGATAGCGATGATGATTTTCTAGTTCTATTGGAACACAGGGTTTCTAGAGAATCTTTTTCATCGCTGTCAGACTGGGTATGTCGCGGTACTCACGTTGCTGTGAATATATTCAATCGCATTATACTTCTGCTCAGAGATTAGCATGAATCAGATCAAATAATCAAACCATGGGCGGGGGGGNGGGGGGGCACCGCTTTTTAAAACGACGGTATCTTGAAAAAAAAGCAATATTACAATGGGTTTATATCGGGTATGGGTACATTCGCCCGTTTGGAGATGCGCGCCAAGAAATTCGCCAGGCAAGTAGTCGCGCGCCCCTTGTTCATAATGTTCATAATTATCAGTTTCATAATTACTATAGGTAAATGTAAGCGCGCCCGAACTGGGAACTTGATGTTAAGAAACTTTTGCGCTCCAGAAAAATTCAGCTCAAACTGACGATTACGGAGAACCTATTTCATGTAAATGCTCTCAGTAGCGAACGGAAAAACAAAAAATCACAAAATCAAAAATCTATCACAAATCATAGCCTAGACGCAGCTGTCTCGATCTAAAGGGACTTAAGTATCATGCCGTGTGAAACTTGGAATCATGGCCGAGCGATTAGCTCAAATAGCATACGGTAAACATTCAGAAAAATAGCAAACACTGCTCAGAAAACTTGTATAAGGTGATTTTCATACCGCTTAGTTGGCGAGTTGACGTCGGCTTCTCCAGTTGGTAACATTTCGGCTTCAGCATTGACACAGTCGCTTGTAGGTGATGAGACCGGGGCTTCTGCTCGGGTTTCTCCATTCCCAGACCATTCACGCAATTCAGAAAGCTGTAACCTTGTATCGCAGTACCAATACGCTGCAAAATTTGATCGATGCAGTAGATTGTTTATTAAATATTACCCTAGCGACATCCTGTTCGTCGAACGTGTATGTCTTAGAAGTCTTCAATGTGGGCGTATCTGACATGCAGGACCAAGCCACAGCATGGCAACCGTACGCACCGATATTCACTATTAGAGCCTTTTCGTTGCGATACGAGCCAACCTATAACCTCTTTATCGACATCGTGATCTACCAGAAATAACAAAGTGAAACTTGTAAGGCTCTCCTCAAACCCTTTGATCACTTTCAAGCTTGCAACAAATGATCATTCTACAAAGGGACTGGTAGCGCGATTTTTTCATTGAAGTGTGAAAGGCCCATAATCCAAGAACCATTCGTTGCACCGCATCATACGAAGACAAGCTGTTCCCGCTAACCCACAGGCAGTATAGCGCCATCTGACATCCACTCCCTCGACCTTTAATGTCATCGCGAATGATCCTAACTTCATCACCCTTGCTTGTTCGGCTAAGAGTTCTAGCAAGGTAGCCAAGAGTAATCGTACAGTGTTTCGCCAGTCCGTCGTCCATCTCCACTTCGTTTTCAACTATCCATTTAATTTGCACCCAAATCTCATACAACGGCGATGAGTGAGACTTGAGGTCTTTTAGAGATCATAGATTGCGCTGAATGAGACAACCTAAGAAAGAGAGCAGCAAGCAGCAAAAAGCAATATAGAACTAAAACGAGTAATAATTATTGTTGTAAAAGTAGACAGGCTGAGCCAATGGTAGCGTGTTCCCGGATCTGTGAAAAAAATGATAAACGAAAATAGTCAAAAACCATTAGGGACAGGCTAATGGCAACAAGTCAACAGCAAAAGCTGCCACTCACAGGTGCTAGGGAGGAAACAGATAATTTCGAGTGGCAATGGAGAAAAGGTTCTAAAAACAACTGACATGCATTACCTTGAAAAGCCGCAACAGAGACTCGCATTCATCGTCTAGGAGGCCCATTCGCCATGAAAGAGATCATAGGAGCTTGACAGTACTTGAGACTAGGATATACCAAGCACCCGCGTGGAAACTCTAAGTCAAGCGAGTGAGTGGGACCAAGAAGCGCGTAGAGTGACGGATTCATACGGCCTATTCATCTAACTTTTACTAACAAACTTCGAGAAAAACGAGAGCAAAATTGCTATGCAAATTCTTGCCCCCCTCCCCTCACTTTTTCATTTCCTAACGGACCCGGCATGCAAGAATTTAGCGCCGAGAATAAAGTTCAAACTACAATTCAACGTAGCCCGACAACATCATTCATAAAACGTTGTTGCAACTAAGCACACCTCCTCACGAAACATGAACAGGCGATCCTTATTCATAACCAAAAAAAGGATAACGAGGGTGAAACCGCACCTCTGCTCGATGTAATCGAAGTATATCATTCGGTTGTAAGTCCTTGAAATGACCTTCTGATTCTTTACTGACTTTCAAGCAGACGGTGGCACGCTCATCCTGGAAAAAAAATTGAACACACATCCCTCAACACTGTTCAAAATTCGAGCCGTGAAAAAACCTTCATAAATTTTAACAAACCCTTATCTCGATAATAAGGCCACCGAAAATCGGCGTAGTGATTGAAAGAACCACACCGTACACGTTGACGCGACCAGAATCAGGAAGGCTCTTCAGTGTTGTGTATTCATACAACGGAGCTTCTGCCATAATGCTGCAATTTTGGGTTCTGGAATGACAGGGCAAAAAGTCTGCAAAGCAGTTATGGTACACGTATTCAAACCATGAAATCATCACGGTAGAATCTTACCACAAGCGGCAACGCTTTTCCGCACCCTTCCCCGCACTTAACTGGGAGGTAGCATCACCATGGCCTAACTCCTCTTTCATTCCAGCTTTTCATACGAGGTCAGCACTGACCCCGTTGTTTCTCCCCCCCCCCCCCCCCCCNCCCCCCCCCCCCCCCCCACGTAGGCCTAAGAGAAACTCCATCCCCTGGTTCAGATACGCTTCACTGAAGAATAGCACCAACAATTGGAAGCCCACAAAGCTTGCATATATATTTCGCTACACTCTTTAATGTTGGAAAAGCAGAGCCGAGTCGAATGGCGACTTGTCTAGGGTTCTGCGGCTTTACTAACTTTCCCGCGCGCACATACTTGAATGCACTTACCACTAGAGCGGCGGGGGACGGAACTTAAGTGCGTCCGAGGGTGCGTGCGGCACGGCACATTGCGCGGCGAAGTGCGTGGTGATTCGAACGACTCTGGCGCCCATCATTGGGGCCCAAATTTGAAGTAGAGCAGATTAATAGTATCAGCTGACCCTGATAATCTACTGTACTTCAAGTTTGTACCCGGATAATAGGCGCAAGAGTTGTTCGAATCTCCACGAACTTCGCCGCGCACTTTGCCGCGCGCAACCCCGGACGCTCGTATGTACCCATACCCTTAGAGCGCCCAATCATGCGCTAACCTTTCAAGTTGCTGGAGCCACTACCAGCCTAATCCTTTCTCCTCCATCTGCTCACCACTATATTAGTAAATTCGATACTTCCTATTTTCCTGTCACCCTTCTTCCGGTGCTTCATAAATATGTAGGAGGGCTGTAGGTATTCTATATGATGCGTAAAAGGGTTTTGCAATCATTTAAGACACTTTTTCTATAAAAAAAAGCAAAGCAAGCGCGTGCATCAAGGATCCGAAACTCCGAGTCACGCCTACCAACTCGTCCGTCGTCCAGCCTGTGGTTGTAGGTGTGTGTATCTGTGTATGTGTGTATGTACGTGTGCATTGTAATATGTCTGTAATGTTAATCTTTCCGCTGTAATATGTCTATCAGCAAACACACAGCGAAACATTCCAAGAGTGAGCAAGCAACAGCTAATTGGTTGCCATTGGCTGTTTTCATAGTCCACGACTGGTCGCGCGATCGTTCGCTCGCCAAATCGTGGGCTATGAAGGCAGCCATTGCTCTGCAACGTAACAGGAGGATGATAGAGGAATGCCGATTAATGAAAACAACCACAACTTCAACTAAAAGTACGCTTCCATCACGCCCGTTATAAATACGAGCACTAGAAAATCAGTCAACACTTCAACTTTACAAAATACTTTACTGGAGCACAGCGATTATGACCATAAGAAAATGAACAATGACAAGGTATTACATATGTACAATTTAATAGATCGCGCATTCCTGAAACGAATGAGTCATGAGATCGGTCTCCCATAAGTGTAGCTCCAGTGAACACTTTTTAAAGATCAAAAAAAAAGTGCAGCTCTAAAAGCAGTAAACAGCTCAATCAATTAACCATCACTGAAGAAAGGCACTTAACCTATTAAATGTCTATACTATGAACAAAATAGCAAGAGAGTAATAGAATAAAATCAAAGATCTCTAAAACGTCAACAAATGTGAACTAAATATGAATATTTATACTAATAGTAGACAGGAGTTGATCCCTTCCTTTCTCCACTATGTTTTACGATCAGAGGCATGCAATAGTGACTGGCCTCCCATATTCTCATGCTCATTTACGAAGGAAATCACAGTTGTAAAACAGTGTAGAGCTAAAAATGGCACAACCACCTATCTCATAATGTTTTCGTAAGTAAGGCGAGACAATTGTTTTGAGATCTCCTTTCCTCTAGCAGCTGTCTTGATCTGCGGCTTCACTGTAACCAGTTCCTTGAGAGCCCATAAACTCTGCACCGTACCGCGAGCCGAGACAGCAACTCGACCTTCAAAAGGATTCTTAAGACTTGCCATTCGTACCACGTGCGCTCGCATTCTAATCTATATTCTAGTATGCTATGAGAAACCAATCAAATCGCTCGGATTTATCGGTCGGACGGACCCACCACCCGAGGGGTATGTCCTAAATTACGAAATTACACATTATGCAGGAAAGTAGAGGATATCAATTTCCTGTGAAGGAAACATTTTATGCTTTCAGTCACTTCCTCTCATGGTACGCCAACTTCATTTCACAACGGATGGCGATAGCCATGGGCGCATAACGCAATTTAACGCAAAAAACTGCCTCTCATTTTAGTCACGGCGACGGAAACAAGTATACCTTCTTGTCTGCAGTCAAGTCGACGTAATGCAACTTCTTCAACAGCGGTTTTCTGTATGATCATTCGCTTTACTCTCTCTTCATCTACATCCTCTAAAAATAAAGCAGAAATTACAACCAATTAATGTATGACGCCTCGCCCTCGAAAGCGGTAACGTTGCGAAATAAACATAGATCCAGTGCCTTACCAGGTAACTCAATAATGAAAGGTTCGCATTCACGAATTGACAGACTACTCGGATTCTGTTGAAGATCACTGCACACTTCATCGAATCGAAGATTGAAAACCATATTGTAGTATGTTTTCACAGCTGCCTGTATGTAATTAACAGTTTAAAAATTTGGAACTCAAGGTTGATCACATTTGAAAATGACATGGATGGAAAAGTTCCAAAATTTTGAGAAATTGAGAGTTGTTCGCCTGAATAATTGCGCAGTTCCCGTGTGCGGCTGGCGATAAACCTTGGTATTATTGTTCAAACTTTATTGATATAAATCAACACGAGGTTCAGCGAAACTTAAAAACTTACGCATCGGCGAAACCACAATCTTCGGAGCCCGAACGGATGGGATCAAACTATGAAATTACCTGGTCGACACCTCAGCACCCTTGAATAACTTCGAGATCAACTTAATCATACAATCCTAGGTGAATAAAATCCTACGATCGCACATGTGCAATGTTCTCACCTGTGTGGTCTGTCCTACGGTCAAGGAAGGTGACTGTACCATTGCAGGTGGAGTCTACAATCACTTGCCAAAACTGCGAAAATGAGTATATAAGCGAGACCACTGGACCACATTATATACGAATTAAAGAAAATTCAAGAGGCAAGGCTAGGTCGCAGGCGTCAACTGCCTGAGATTGCCACAGAATACAATCTCATAATGAAGACAATTTGGGGCTCACTGTCGAGGTCTTGGCGCATGAAACACAAACAGCGGCGAGCTAGACCCTGGAGTCATTTTGGATCCAGGTCATGGATCCAAAAATGAATAGCGAGGTGGAATGCGTGCGCGAACTCAACTCCCACAAAGGGTCAGCCTTTGACTATGAACTCGAGATAGCCGATTCTATATGCTGTCATGAGGGCCAATTCTGTCAATTAGGGAGGTACGATGCTTATGTTCAACAGGATTATGGGATGATTAAGTTGATCTCGAAGTCACTGTAGGGTGTTGATATATTTGATCGGTAACTTCAGTAAGTTTGTTTCCATAATTTCAAGCTCCGATGATGGTGTTTCGCCGAAACGTAAGCCATTACGGAATTGTAAACCTCGTCGTGTGGAGTTATACCGATGGGATGATTGCTTAGTTTTCTAACAATTCAATGATGAGCAAAAGAAAGTTTTTGGTGGGGAAAGAAATCTGCTGAGGCTTCAAATTTACTTGTTTCGCGACCGTGTTCTATAGAGCAGTACATTAGCGAACAATTTTAAACTACTAACTTCATGAAGCGGAATCCATTCACCGCGCAAGAACACTGATGAATATTCCAGCGGCATGAAGGAAAGGTGCGGTAGTTTACGGAACTCGCGAGATGCCAAGTACTCGAAAAATGCAACGAACAGCTGTGTCTGATTATCATCGTCCATATCTTCTGGTGCTTCTTGGTCTGACGTATCCAAATTCTCCAACTTGAATATGTTATAATACGAATACAAAAGTAGAGATACGAAAGAATGCAACAGAAACCTTTCGAAGCCAGCCACTTACACTTTCTAAAAATGGCTTTGCACGATTGATACTCGAGCCAACGATGCGGCCAGTTGCATATAATATTAGTATAAGAGATATATGGTGACTCTGGAGACGGGCGCCGAACAATCCGTTTTTATCTGCCCACATGGACAGAATGAACATAATTCGTCCTAGTCCTGTTGAAATAACCGCAATTTAGAAAATCATGATTGAACATAATTATTAATACAGAGAACATTCAATGTGAGTTATTACCGCGAGAAATAGCAACAGCAAAACAAACACCTGGGTAGAACCTCGTGTACTTTTTCAGTTGGAAAACTGCTTCATTATCTCGGAACTCCATGAATTTGGAGAAATTTGCTTGATTCTCAGTGAGGTATATGGCAAACTTCTCTTTCAACATCTGAAACAGAAGGATGATTATCAGAATGCTACGACTACTTTGATCCATATCGACCGTTAACATTTCGATACTTATTTCTGGGCATGGAAGCTGCAGTGGTAGATGCTCTCAATGTTGGTTGAGATTGAAGGAATATCACCGCACTCCAATTTTTTTTTTGAAAAATTTTTTCTGTGTTACCCAATGCCTTTCCATATTTAAGTGAGTGGCGATTCAGAGTAGTTCTTCACAGCTCATGCTATTGCACCTTTTGTCGTCGTCTGGGTCGACTATCCCTATCCCTCGTAACTCTCACAGTCTGAGAGGAGTTTTCAGGTGAGCGACACCCATATGCGTAGTAGCGGTGAAATTGGCTCTATCTTACCTGCTGAACTTTTACTCAGTTATCACTAGAGCTGCCGAAAACCACTGAACCGCCCTCACACCACCCCTTGCGATCAAGACAGAAAATTAGCTTTGTTGTCAGGATTTACCAACTTCGTCACTGTTCAGAATTTGTGGAAAGGAACGTCTAGAGTTTACCTTTGTACAAATCTTTTTAGAGTTGGTGCGTCTTCTCACATAATTGTTTGGCACTGGTTAACTATGGTGGCTCCCCTTACATGAGGAATCGTATTTATTACATGAAAAGCTTCATGGGAATACAAAAAAATCAGGAGCAGCAAACTGATGCGAAAAACACTATGTCTGCAGTGCAAGCGAGCGTGTATCAGAGACCGGAGTTATCTATGAGATTGGGAAAGTCACAGCTAGATATTTCAGAAAAACTCGAATAGTCAGAAATTGAACTCCCATCCATGGGAATTATTTATCGTCAACTCGTTCTCAAATGACACAGTAATCCGTAAAAAGAGCACTAACGTCGTAAAGCGGTGTGGACGCCGGTATGCAGTCTTGCTCATTGAGAACGTTTTCTTGCCTAACTACCGCCAACACATCATAAGCCAACCAAGCAAACGATAGAATCCTTTCCCGAGTTCGTTGTGCTGTTTCTGAAATCGCTCCCTCACGGCATACGTAGAGATGAACGAAGAAATTAGCAAAAGAGAGCACTATGATCAACCATCAATCGAATCTTGGAAGTAAAATCTTTGCATACAATTTTCTAACCGTAGCAAACCCGGTAGTAAGCAACAGCTTTTTGTTGCATTCCAACTGACGGATGGTGCACCAAGCGATGGAAGATGTTGTCCTCTACAGCGAACCTCTTGTCAACTTTTTTTGTGCACTTCTCCCAACCGCCGAACTCCTTCAAAGTAGCGCTTACTAATTATCCATCAAGAGTATAGGAACACAGCTCACCTGGAAAAAGTCTGCTCGAAATTCTTTGAAAAAATTCGTCACTTTTTTTTCGATCACTTCATTCGTGTTGTAAAAAGTCATGTCGTCCTGATCACGATCCGAGATGCGATTACGCATCTCGCAGATACAACCAGAAAATATCTCGCCTTCTGTCTTGATGCCATAATTTTCCATGATCGCCTCAAAAATACCATGATTGGAGGGGCATTACATTCAATAAGATTAAGGACTTTCTGGTGCGAATCAGAATCATTGCGCGCAATGAGAGGAAGGGTTTTAGCATAAATGCTCTACCTTCGTTCGCCCTTTGAAAAATGGAGGCAGTACCTAATATTTCATATCATATTTTATCATCTAGTATTACTGCTCACGTACCCTTAGGCCTCCCTTGTACTTAGATAGCTGAGCTTCGGCAATCTCCTCGTAATTCATCCATCCATTTAGAAATAGAAACCTGTCCATTTCTACCTCTTCCTGCTCATCAATGTCTTCTGAGATCTTCAGTACGTCCTCAATTGCTTTGATTTCTCTGAAAATCCATATGCAATCAAATATTTCCAGAAAGTTAGAGCAGGGGCTGTTGATAAGGCATTCGAAGTCATCGCGGTGTGTCGTCCGATGGACGGAATTTAACCTATCGTATTCGTTCGAAAAATCACGAAAAATCGTTACATGCGTTTTTTTTTTCGTTGTGACTTTATATGGTCTTAAACAGGCTCCCGATATAACCCTAAATTGCACAACAACAGGTCACTTTTTTATGGTAACCCAATTCCCAAAAAATTACGTAGTTAAAATATTAGCTTGATGCATAACTATTGGATTTTGTCAGCAAATTTTACTTGAAGAAGCAATAGAAATATCTACCAAAGACATGCTGAGATAATTGCTCCGGAACATATCCACCATGTACGTCAAGCAATGCTTCCCATCTGCTAGGCGTTCGGGTTCCACAGGCGAAGAATTTTCGATTCTTGGAGGCAATCAAGCCTTGACGTTGGCCATCAAGCCATCCAATCCGTCGAAAGTTGTATTCGTAAACCAATTTTTCAAAGGGCGATTGACGTGATAATCCGTAGGAGTATCTTCTGGTGAATAGCGAGACCACAGAAGCAGATTCCATTCCTTGTTCGGCTTTGGCTGACTGTTATATTGCCAAGAAGTTCGTTGAGATAACGTTATGAGTGGGCCGCCCACAAATATTTCTCGAAATAATAGAGCATAATTTGGCGTATATGAAGATGACTTTCTAGACATATTTCTGTTGAGGGAAGCGAGTAGATTATTTCTACAAAAATTCCGAGCTAAAAAGTTTAATTTTATCGAGAAAAAAGAAGCCGCGAAAAAATCCGCAATGATTACGCACCAACCTAATAAAAATCGAAACACCAATTTCACTTCGAAATTAAACCTTCAGCGCCTATTTTCACCTTTTCTTATTCACCCGACCACTCACTTAGCTATGGGGCCCACTTGTCTGAGACCGAATATTGATTCAACCAACCCAAGATTCCAATGGAACGGCAAATTTTAAGGATCTCTGGTTGATATCCATTCGGATCGGAGAGCTCTACATACAACTACATTCAATGAAGCGAGTCATTCTGCCGAAAAAGATGTTCAGTTCCTGCCGAGAGTGAGACACTTTGAAATTTGATTTTATGAAGCGATGGTTTTATTCCCATATTTTTGCAGTCAAGGGATGCGTTTTTTTTTCATAGCAACTTTAGCTAATCGCAGTTATTGCCCACTAACCTCACTGGCAACCTACTGTAGCTACAGATAGAATTTCTTCGCACATCGGATAGTCAGGATAAATAAATAAACAAATAAATACATATAGTAGTCTACCAGTAATTTGGCAGGAATACGGGGGGCATGATGGGAAAACTCAAGGAAGCAGCAGGACCGGACTCTGCCTACAGGGAGCGCAGCATGCGGCGATGGAAATTTTCAACCGCAAACAAATAACTCTGTTCCAGTGGACCTAGAATTTTGAAATTTGTTAGGAGGAGGCGACAGGATGGGAACACTCACGGCAGGTAGCACGACCAGGCTCCGCCCACCGGGGGCGGGGCGTGCGCGATAGGATTTTTCGACCGCAAGTTCTTAACGCCTGCTCCAGTGGACCTAGACCGTTGAAATTTGGTAAGAATACTGGCTACAAGACGGGAACATTCATGATTGGTAGCAAAATCAGACTCTGTTCACAGGAGGCGGGGTTTGCGCGAAATAGATGGTTGAGCGAAAACTCGTAAATCCTGTTCCCGTGGACGTAAAGAGTTCGAATTTTGTAGGATTACAGCTTTTCTTATTAACAGTGGAAACTCGCCATTTTGCCAAATGATTTAAGATATGACGGGATCGGAGGTACCCGGTGACAGAAAAGGATGACAATTGATAAGAGAAAGTAAGGGGCCTAAGAGAGCAAGAGCGACCTACCAATCAACCTAACCCTTCGGTATTTAAGATGTAGCTTTGGCTGTTCAGTATGTTTCATTCGATAAGACGAGTGATAGGGATTCATTAGGGGCACTACGCCAAGCAAATGAGAATTTAGTTCAATTCTTGATACTAGATTACGATCACTACCAGCAAGGTTTGCGACCCAATGGAGGATTCTCTTTGTTCGATATCACTGCGACAAAACTTAATCGACTGCCAGTAATCTGGAATACTCGACTAATGATAGCTCTGTAAAAAAGGTCTAGAATTGATAAAGACATCTGATATTGGTATTATCATTACTCGAACTTGTGAGTACCGCCCAAAGCATTGGTTGCCTAACAGTTGAATCCTTGGTGGGTATTTATTTTTATGAACGAGAGCAAAAGATCGGGACTTCCAATTAGAAGCGTAAGCACCGACTCACACTGGATACAATTGCACTGCCCCATCAGTCCTGTGACTGACTAAATGAACGGGGAAATATTATTTGTTTCAAGGAAGGAGAGGAAAGTTAGCTGATCGCTACAACTTCGTCGAAAAAGGAGGGAAGCCAGGCGTTAGCCGGACGAACCGACTGGTCGTGGGATATATCGGGAACCTATGAAGCAATGTCCGGCTCACATTAGCACGCAACTGGAATAGGTAGAAATATGCTTGTATTTTAAATAATTGCATCATAATAATCAGTAAGCTTCTGTGCAATAGACAGAGCGTCAGATACAGATTTACCAGTCGGCTAGCCCGTGTGACTCCGAGCTTTCCTCCTCNNNNTCGCGTTAAAATGGCCTCTCCGCCTGCACTTTTTTCGAATTTTGAGGCTTCGAGAGATGAGAACAGGAGTTATTCATTCGCGGCCAAACACAAACACCCAACGCGCGCCCCGTCCGCCATGAACAAACCTTCTTAAGTTCTCAGTGTTCGAGTAACTTAAATTATTTACGACTTATTCAACCCTGGTTTCGAAAATTCGCTTCAAGTCTAAATTAAAGTTTTCCGCCCACGCCTCGCCTCCTGTGAGCGGAGTTAAGTCCTGCCGCCCGACATAGGTGCTTCCATCCTGTCGCCTGTAGTTCTTTCAAATATGAGCGCCCTAGTTCCAAGTTAAAATTTTTCGCCCTAACCCCGCCTAATGCGGGTGGGGTCCGATCTTGCGGCCCACCATAAGTGCTTCTATCCTGCCGCCTGCACACCCATTAAATTTCAGCCATCTAGGTCGCCTCCCACTCCGTTGCCGACCCCGCTCACTTCGAGGATTTGGCCAGATTTATTCCAATACCGCTAACCACTTTTTTCCTCCATTCTATAACATTTCTGAACAGAGATGTGAAATTTTGATTTAAGCTCCGCCCACTTTGGTGCCAACCCCCCCCCCCCCCCCCACTTCGAGGATCTCACCACATTTGTTAGATTACCTCTAACCACTTTTTTCTAAAACCTTTCAAAACGAAGTTAACACTCATTTCTGAAAAGTAGCTTTCACCTCAACACAAGCTTCGCCTATTGCGAGCCGGCCTCCGCTGACGTTATTTATGCTGGAGACACCTTCGACGATGCTTCCCCTACATCCACTTTTCCTGCTCTATTCGCTTTCTCCAAACCACGTTATAAATGTTTTCACAAAGCATTGCATTTTCAGAGAACGCCCCCCCATCGGGGGTGGGTCTCCCTAGTTCGATCTAACACCAATGCACACCTCTAGCCAACTTTCCACCCAGTTCTGAAGCCGTCTTGTAACTGACTTTGAAGTCATGGTTCTCATTACAGCTTTTCGATGCACGCCACGCCCACTGGGGGCTCCGCCAGACTGATGTGTGCTTTGTACTTCTCGGGACATGGCCCACCCATCCCACGCTTGACCGTCTCTCCAGTCAGATCCAAGAAGCTAAGGAATTTCGTGACAGACATACATCACGACAGACGACAGTCTTATCTCAGCCGGCTCAACCACATAGCTGCTATCGGGTGGCCGAGTGATTTTTGAATAAATTTTCATATCGCTGAGAACTTTTTGGAGATCTGTAGGTTTTCGAAAGAAGACTTTTCCTAAGATGGGATCCAGAGTTGTGTTGGGTTGGAGACCTTTAAAGAAGTACGTCACTTCTTCTTGAGCACTATATATCTTGCTTGAAAAAGCGAAAAATTGTATGCTTTTTCGGAAAAAGTGCCGTACATGGCATTCTGGACGACGAAACAATTTCTATTCTTGAACATAAGCATACAATTTGCAAACAGTAGAGAAGGGCTGTCTGAACTTCAGACATGTCACTCATCGATAATATGTGTTGACCCATGTTTGCCCTTTGTTCAGTATAGCCTAAAGAATGCGACAGTGAACTTTTCGTCTAATCCGTAATATATTAGCTACAACTGACTGAACGAACCGAAATATTTCAGTGGAAGCTAACGCGTTCTAATTATAATTATGGTGAGCGTCGTTGCTGATAGCATGTCCTCAGGAACATAGATGGAGCGAAGACTTCAAATTGAACCTTTGCAAGTTTTTAGTTCACTATTATGCAAAGGTCGCTCAGCTGTGTATTTATTGTCATATTCTGTTGAAAAGTGCAATTAACCTAGTTACAGAGAGAAAACGACGGGGAACGCGAAATGGTGTTTTTTTCGTGATTTTTTGAACTCATAGGATAAGAGATGTGGAGGAGGATAGATATGAGACACGAAATGAGCAGCCATTTAGAAAAGAAAAATGAGCAACAACAAAAAAAAACAAAACTATCTATTTGCTTACTACCTTGGAACATACCTATGAATTCTACCCATTAACCTAGGGCTTCTGTAGGTAGGATCATAATCATTGCCGAAATGAAAGTCTGGCTGACGTTCGTTTTTTTCTGGCGGAATTTCTTTGCCCGTCTCCTCATCTGAATGCGACCATCTTCAAGCACAAGAGCAAAACTAAGCCCATGCTACAAGATTTGCATTGACGCGGCACGAAGATATAAGGCGAAAAGAACCGCTACGGTAAGTTCAGAATAGTGATCGCAGGTGCTTGTGACAAAGAGGACTTTTCCAGACTTCATATTTCAACTCTGACTTCATGAAAGCATTTGATACGCAGAGCTTCGAACCTTCAGTCCAATCCCTTACTAGCGGGGCAGGTGGTAGTCCGGTTTTCGTGAAATCAACTGCTTGCGAAATTTTCCTTGCCAGCCTCAAACACACCTGCAAAGCAATCTCCTTAAGAGCATCTTCCGAAAATTTCTTAACAACTGAAAATGTTCAATAATTGGAGAAACTCCAGTAAATATTTATCCTGCAATAGCCTTGAAAATGCGAACAACAGCATTTGATCAAAACACAAAAAAGGAAAACGAAACTGAATCAAAAAAATGCATATGCAGTAAGACCGCTGCATGAGTGGAACTTACTTCGGAATTGATTCCATAAAGGTCCGCTTGGAAGAGGAACGAGTTAGAGATTGTTCCTACTGAATCTTGAGTGATATAGCTGATGTAAAAATTAACCATATCGTCATTCTAAAAAGTGAACATTAGCCAAGCAAACCAGGTGAAGAGCCCAATCAAGCCAGATTTACCAACGTACCATTGTTTCAGGATTAATTTTGCGGGTTTCCGGTTTAGTCGCTGTATAGTCGAACGCATCTTCATTTCGATCCAACAACAGTTCCTGATCCCAAATTACCGCGTACTCATCCCCATCCAAGTCAGAACCTAAAAAGAAAGCACAGAAAATTTACAAACAAACCAATAGAACAAGCCTTCAGGCATCCACATTCTACCAGACGTCAGTTCGCGAAAATTCCATATCAGGAATTTGTGGGACTTTGTGGAGAAGGAATGTTGATGATTAAATTATTTGTCAACTCCTAAATTCCCATCAGTCGTACAACATTTGTTCTCATGCTGAGATACATATGTATGTTCATTCAAAGGTTCAAAGGCGTTTCCGATTCTCATAGCAGAATATGAGAAGAGCTCTCCAGCTAACGTATTTCATTCTTCCAGGCGGGTAGAACATCAAACCTGCTAATGTGCGAATATGCTTTGCCACACATCTGCCCTCTATCAGTGTGATCAAACAGTCGAGAACAAAGAAAAACATTCACCTGCCATTTCATCAGGATGTGGTCTTGGTCCATGTATTGGGAAGACGATTACGTCGCACAAATGGCGTAAGTCAGGAATATCTACCGCTTCAAACACACGCACATCACCAGCCACAATGCAAGGATTCTTCGTAAGCAGAACTTTACCTATGATCAAACACAATGTGGAACCGAACGTTTGAAACACCTGTACTTTATGTTCCGAAGCTTGCTTACCAGAGAGTATTTTCCTCGACGCCTTTGGTGGTGGATTTTTCAGATTAAGATTTTCGGTGTATTGCACAAATACCTGACCATACTGCAGTTGGCCGGTTTCGTCTACTACCCCTAACATGGTACGCCCTTTTTCGAACGGAATTTGAATTTGTTGCTTACGCATTTGTTTAGCTGAAGTATGTGGGTTACTGGTAACGTATTATTTCAACACGACATCTACTTTTGCGAACTGTAAACTTGATATTGTCAAAAACTTACTAACGGTATATTTGATCGTCGCTTTTATCAGAGATCGGAAAAAAGGCTCAGTGCTAAGCTGAAAACCGCAAACAACGGACAGGCTGTCTATATCTATACGTCGCGGTAGCTCCTGAGATATTAAAAGGGAAACATTCTTAGTTGACACCCTCGACTGGCTAACAATATCACCTTCAACTTATTCCGACAATCGTGTTCACGCAACATCGTCCTAGCCATTCCTCGCAATTGGAGATCAAGAAGTTCCTCGATGCGATTCGTTACGCGAGCGTGACACTCATAAGATTGCATTTCGGAAACCTGCGAAATGACTATTATATCTCGCTGTCATACCGATGCAATGCTTACAGGTAAAATAAGCCAGCTTGTCGTACAATGTTCGTCTCTGTACTGGAGCACATCTCTGCAGACAACGAATGCCCTAAACGTAGACAACTTGGGGCGAAAATGCGCTCGCTCAGTAGGTTCGCGGTACGATGGTCGGATAACGAAATCATTTGTGGTAGTCCCCAGGGCATTTCACCTAATCATGTGCAACGAACGTGAGATTTGGTGTATGTGCAGTAGCGCTTCTTTGGTACTGTAAAGCGTTGACCATAAGTATGTTCGTGAAAACATGAATGTGCTGTAAGGTGTCCTTACTTCCTTTGAATTGAAATCCTCGGACAAAAGGGCTAGTACAACGAACTCAGAAAGCTTTTTTGATGACCTTTCTTTCCTCTCCGTAAATCATAGGACGAATCATCTAGTTCTAAATTTTTCTGATAGAACTAAAGGTCCATGACAAAAGCAATCCCTACGACTCGAATCAGCATATAAGGAGACCTTTCTTCATCAATTTCTATGCGGACTCGAGGAAGTTGGGAGATTTTCTAACAATTCACAGTGCTATTAGTATTATTTTATTAATAGTATTACAGTATTAAATGCAGACACATTTCGATATCTATGTTTAAGAATCCTCTAGTAATCAATAGGTTCTGCATGCCTAGAAATGAGTTGGAAACTCGACTCGGCAGGAATGAGCTTCCCGTAGTGCAGCAGATCCAAGTGGGTATATACCTGATTGTTTGCTACTTTGACAAAGCCTTTCCCTGACTGATAAGATTCCAAACAAAAAGACCCCCTCTCTGAAAAATTTAGATCAGGAGAGCAGTTCATCGCAATGACATTCCGAAATCGAAATCGAAATCTTGAAACGGCTTTCATTTCACTTACATAAACGTCATTACTCTGGGTGAAACCTGGATCGCCTTTCTTAGCGCTATATTCCTCCTTGCGCAATTGTGCATAACTCATCTAAGCTGCAAGAGGGTGGCTACTGGGATAGGGCAAACCTTCTATCGGAAAGGCAACGCTTCGCCAGTATCGATGCTATGTTACAACAGCAGTATAGGCTAACGTGGATAGGCTCTCGTTCACTAATTGCGTGCACGTAAGCGCCGCACGTACCCAAGCTGCCTACTGCTAGGCTGTACACGAAGTCACATTGACGCGGAAGAACGCTAGCAACTTCCCATCCAATCTGAGACTATTTCAGCTATGCATTACAGGGAGAACGTCCGTTGCGCGTGTCCGTCGAGAGTAGGTCACCCCGCCCACTTCGCGCACGGCGCATCACACTGAGGTCTCGAGATGACATTACAGTACCACCAAGAGTCATTGGAGCAAATGATTTGCATTTGTCTGTGTTATCTTCTTCTTGAACTGACTGCCGTGGACCAAACGCAAAGCGTATGCCCCAGTGACAACTGCGACGTCTGTCAAATATCGGCTGCGGCGTGACCTAGTTTCGACGGACACGCGCAACGAAGCGCACCCGCATTACAGATGCCTCGCGGTACAAATATGGCATTGGATTGCTTCTTCATCGATTTTGCAACATTAGTTCTACAGCACCTTTGAAGGACATGCTATTATGTTGATGCAAGTCTTGATACACTTGGATGGGCGATTCGTTTACAAGTCTAGACTCTTGATCATTGAACTAACAAGGGAAAGATACTTGGTTGCAGCGGTCATTCATCATGAGATGTATACCGCTCCAAATATGCTAAGTCCCGTAACTTTCTTCCCAGAATCGTTTAAAAATTCGAGACACAGATCTGAGATCAGAGTTCGAAACCACGTACGGCGTTACACATCTCGTCGCACATGGCCACTGCAATAAAGTATCCTTACCTTGTATTTAAGTAGTCACATTTGTTATCTGTGAGATACCTCCGACGACGGGGCTATTCTTTTTCTTAGAAAGAGGAGCTCTGTGAAGCAAAGAAGTCAGAGTCAGACAGTCAGTGATAGTCAGAGGTGAGGACAGAGAAATAAGCCAGGTGACCAAAGATATTCCAGCCAAGGTCCTTTAACCTGGAATGCGAGGTCTGTCTTTGTAACGTGAGGCCCAGCACTACTATGTAGGACATAAGCAGAACCCTTTCCCGGTCGCTTTTCTGAACACTAATTAACGAGTTTCTGGAGCTGACTGCTGTAGATTGTGGCCGTGACTGCCTCGCCATGAAGGAATAACTTGTAGTATAGCCACAAAGCAGTCGAAGCAGCACGGCGAAACCTTCCCTTGGGCTGTTCTGATTTAGGCTGCATAGGCGGATACTCTTCTTTTGATGAATCTCTCTTTATTGTCATAGATAATCGACTCTCAGCTCTCATATCCTGTCTCAAGAATCTGGAAAAACTGACTCCGATTGAAGGTGAGCAGCAGCGATTGGCTAATTGAGACACGCGCGTAACAGAGAACGATGGTTGATGCGGGAACCGGCGAGCAAGAACTTTCCGGTAGCTCGTGAAGATATAGAACTGGCCGAAGTCGAGACTTCAATTCTTTTTTGGTAGCCTCAGGCTTCTTCCTTTGTGAAGTTAAATCATTATCGATAGGAACTGATTGTCCGGACGGTGACTGTCGTCGAGCGTTACGACAAATGAAAGGTGCATGGCATGGCTGATGAGGTCTCCTCCGCATGCAACATTGAAGGAACCGGTTGGAGGCAGCGGTTGCTTGAGGTTGATCTCGTGACAATTGGGGCGTGGTTTACAATAGAAGCCACCGGTCGATTCGTACTAAAGCCTAATAACCCGAATCGGACGTTTGCGATTAAGAAGATGTGGCTCAACCCAAGCTCTAACCATCTTCGTTGCCTACGCACCAACATCGAGCTACAATGAAGAGGAGATGGAAGCGTTTTATATGGATCTGGAAGGGCTCTACGGAGGGAACCACACTCTCTTGAAGGTCATCGTCGGTTATTTCAACGCCAAAATTGACCACAAAAGAACAGCTGAAGAGTTCCACATCGAAACTAATGGAAAAGAATGAGCAGGGTGAAAAGCTGTCCGAGTTTATCATGTCGACCCACAACATTCATGGTGACTCGCAGTTCCAGCAGCCCTCTCATTGGCGATGGAATGGAGTCACGTGGTGGACAGTTCCATAATGGAAGAGACCACGTCATCTTCACTCGGAGATTTTTTCTGACTGACGTCGCTGTTGTTCCTATGTTCTACACGGGATCGGAACATCTCCTCCGCGCTAGATTCTGCTTCTCAGTGCGTGGAAAGAGAGCTATGAAGTTTAGGAAGCGAAGCCCCAATACTCCATCGACTGAGACCACCTCGCTTCCGTTGCGAGCGAGTGGAAAGATCCCGTTATCGACAACATCGATGAAGAATACAACCGTCTCGTCGAACATCTTTACGATAGTGCCAGGAAAGCAGAGAGTCCACAAGTTGCCAAAAGACGACTCTCTTCGAAGACTGTCCGATAGGTCACCGTGGAATCGCGCGAGCTACAGGCAGTCATCAATGTCCAGCTGCTTCCAAAATCGCTTAGGAGGGAGGATTTGGAATTCGCGTTTGAAAACATTCATGGCGGATACAACATATCTTCAATCGACCAAGTATCCTTTCCTTGTGAGCTGAAGTACACAGAAAGGGTCAATACTTAACCTTTGATAAAGAAGGTGAGTGGCTCGGACCAAATATCCGACACAACATCGCGTAGGCTAATCAAAGCCTGCATGCCCTTATAACGGAATGGCTGCAAAAGGCTGCACCGAGCGGCCGCTTCCTTTGTGATGTCCCAGATGTCGTGAACTAAAGACCGTTGCAGCTCATGGCCTCCGTTGAGTACTGCGTACCAAAAATCCAAAAGCGGATCCTCGTTTAAAAAGCCATTTCAGTACCAAATGACATTCTAGAAGGCAAATCCGGTACTGCTCTCATTGAACAGGTTCCATAGTTCAACCTATGCTCATACAAGTAATTAGTCGCTGAAATTCATTCATTCGTTCCCAACTAAGTAAAAAGATGTCCATACGGAAAATCGACAGGTTTGCAAGTTGAAAGTTGTCGAGGATCAATAGGCTTGCCTGATCTAAAATGCAGATGAACGGCTTGTTCAACGAGACCGGCACAGGAGATGAGTGCTTTACAACTTCGAGTGAATCAGTCTGAGTCCTCTTAGCATCAAACCTAGATAGGCTTGAGTTAGAACTACACGTTATCAAACTGAACGTTTTGGAGCTGATCAAAAACTTCACCACTGTTCACTTACTTTATCTGGCTAGGCCGGAATACCAACTTGAGATTCCAGTTTCCATGCACCCGTTTCGGTCGCGAGATCTCGTTTTTCTCTGCCCACTCAGAGAGCTCATCCAACAAAGGATTAACGGCAACCACTCCTTTCATCCCACGGAAACGGAACTTCAAAACATCGAAAGAATGAATAACAGACGATTTTCTGGATACTCAGAATAACTGCAAAACTCACTTGATAACAACTCGGCACACAATCCCCCAAAGACATGTCTTTGGCAATTTCCGCTGCAAACCCGTAACTTATCATGCCCACTCCATCGCTGAAGGTGTATTCCTTGCTGAACAGAAAGGGATTCATAAAAAAAAGGTGGACAGCAGTAAAATACTAAAGAACGATGGATGCTTGAAGTTTAGCAGACAACTGAACACACATGAGATTCTTTACCAACACATCCACAAAAAAAAACTATTTCTCTCGCGATTGCGGCTGTTGCAATTTCATTAGGTTGATCAAAAAGTTTTGATAGGGTTT